CGAAATTTTGTCGAATTGGGGAATATATTAAATTTTAATTATGTAATGAACCTTTTTATACCTTTAAATCAGGCGCGTAATCAGGGAGGGGGCTGGCAAAAAACCCCTCCCATCACAAATTTGCATGTATTGGTAAATATTATTTTAAGGTAATAAAAATCCACCCCCCCCCCCATCTCCACCTTCTCTCCCAAACAAGGAAGAATTTGAAAGAAAAATTGGTAAAAGTTGATAACTTTTTAAAATATATAATTCAAAATTTTTTAGAAAAAAAAGCATTTTCTATAAAAAAAAAGTGAAAAACTTAAAATAATTTTTCTAAAAATCTAATTTAACAAAAGGCCTACAATTGGTGGATCTAAAGATCCCCAATAAAACTTTAAAATATTCCTTATTCTTTCATAAATTACGATAAATTGGCAATCGATAATTAAATCATTAGCATTTATTTATGTCATAATTTATAATAATGTATATTTTTATTTACCTACTTTTCTTCCGTATCCCATTTCCTAGAAAAAATTAATTATTATTTTCTTCTTGTTTTCATTTCTGCAAGAAAAGGACGAATTTTTTTTATTGGAAATTCAAAGAAAGGAAGCCAGCAGCGATATCTTAATTTTTTTTAAAATGATATATTTTTTTTTAAAAAAAAAACTTTTTAAAAGGAAAACAAATAGGAAAAAACCCTTTTTTTTATTAAAAAAAACACCCCCCCCCCATCCATTTATTTAATTAGTGATGACGTAAGAATAATTAGTAAAGAGAAATAAAAAATCAATATGAACTTTTCCTTCTCAAAAGTCGTCAGTTCGTATTTTATTGATACTCGATAATTAAAAAGTGATATTTTTTTTAAACAAAGTCATTCATTTTCAGCCAGTCCTTTATACCCCAGATCTGATTAATTATTATTTTTTAACATATATTGGTACCTCCGGTCCAACCCAGTGAAAGATGTTATGAGTCTAAATAAAAAAAATATGATTAAATTTTTATTTTATTTTCTCCTGGTCATTTTTATATTTATTTGACTTTTTTTTAAAAATAGATGATATCTATATATCATCTTGGTCAAAGTGGCCTGAAAAATTGGAGGCACACAATGTTTTAGGCTTTATTGGCTATGAAGCCCCCATAAAAAAAAGAATTAATCGAAGATAAATCACTAGACATCAAAAAATGCAGAGGTCAATGTTATAGTGGAGCTAACGTTGGTGGAAAGATATCTTGTTTACAAAGGCGTTTTCATAATAAAGAAGCCAGAGCAATCTATCTATATACATTGTATTGTGAAAGTCATACATTAAATCTTGTATTCATTTAATATTATTGCAAAAATTCGTGATTTTATAGTATTATTGAAAGATTTATTATCTTTTCCTCGAGATTCTCCCAAACGCACGGGGATATCGTTCCTTCCAAGATAAAAATGATAGTTTTAATTCTTTACATATAGCTAAAATCAATAGAAAAATTATGAAATTATTATAAAACTTTAATAGAAATTAAAAATGCATTTCGCAATAAGATTGTGGCGAGAGCAGAAATTTTATTACACCAAATTAGTGTTTGTTAAATGGCTGTTTTGAGCCGATTTTTAAAAACGGCTATCTCAATATTTTAGCCAGAAAAATATTAATTAAGTCTCGATGGCTAATAGATGTCCAAACCTTTGTTCCTTCTACAAACAAAATCTTCAGGCTTGTGTATTATTATTCTAGATGAAATACTGAGTGAGCCGTTTAACAACACTACACCAAATAAAGGTTAAAATTTTATTTTTTATTTATTAAAATTAAACATATTGTTAATCATTTTTGAAATTTGTTTGTTTATTATAAAATATAGTATAAATCTCCTTTGCTTTCACCATGTCACCGTAGTCTATATTTTCTCAGCGTCTACATATGGGAAGAGGGGGATGGTTAGGTGAAACTTGTTTCCGAATTTTTAAGATGGGTAGGGTGTAAGCATCTAAGAGATAGAGGGTAGGAATCTGGGGGGAGGGGGGGGGTAAGCATTTAATGGGGGTAAGCTAAATTTATTGAGGGGTTACGAATTGAATATTTAGAATATGGCAAAATATATTGCGGTAAAATTTTATTTACTACTTTTATTTTAGACTTATTTAATAGACAGACAGAAATTGCTTAACATTGACCAAATCTATATATTACATACAATACAATCATCATTGAGTAATTTTACAAAAAAAACCTATTTCTATAAAACTTTCTGCTATATTTTTAAATGCAATTTAAAAGGGGGTAGACAATATATCAGCAAACTTCAATTCATACCAAACAATTAATACATTAGAATAATACATTCATCGTAAATGAAAAGAAGGTTTTTAATTTAATTTTTATTCTGAAAACTTTACCATAAATAATTTTAGGGATTCGAACAGAACCTGAACCCGAATAAGAAAACTCGGGTTTTTGGGAAAAAATCGGAACCCGAACCGAACCTGAACCCCGTTTATAAAATTTTCACAACCCCAAACCGAACCCAGGAATTTATTTGAAATCGGGTTCAACCGGGTTCTGTGTATTGTTTAAAATCATATATTAAGATATTTGTATAATTCTAAATACAAATTTTAATAATTTAATTGAGATTTTATAATATTTTCAAATTTCCAAATAAGTGAATTGTTAATAAATTTTTGATAACTTGATTCATTTATGCCATTTTGAAAAATTTTAATTTATTCTCATAGATTCATATTGGAATGTTAATTTTAAACAATTAAATTAATTTACGCAATTTATTATTAATTTATAACTTATTCTCAAAGATTATTAATTAGAGGAAAATGAAAGTAAACAAGTCAAGGTAAAAATTATTATATTAGATATTGATAATTTAAAGAAATAAGTCTAAATAAAATTTATAAAATTGATACATGACTATGCTTTGTATTTTTAACTATATTTTGCCTAAATAAAATAACATATATATATTTTATATACCAAATGTATGTCTAATTTTTTAATTATGATTTAAATATAGAATTTTTTTTATCAATTCAAAAATTCATAAACCCGAGCCCCGGAACCAAACTCGGGTTCAAAAATATTTCCCTGAACCGAACCCGAACCCACCTATTTTTTTTACCTTAAATCGAACCCGGGCAAAAATTTTGCCGGGTTCGCACCCCTGCATAATTTTATGATAGTTTGTAGTAGAGTATTTATAGTTTTTAAGATATTATTTGTAAAATATAAGAATGGATTACAATCATGATTAAAAATTCGTGATTAATTGATGAGAATAGATTTTAACTGACGAAGGTTTAGATCCAATGAATTTTTCTCTCATGTAGACACTGTTTTCTATTTATAAAATAATTTCAAGTAGGCCATTTTTACCGCATTAATCGTACTAGCCCCACCGTGTTGAATTCAAGGCTTCATTATTTTTACATTTACGCCTAATTAATTGCGAATCAATAATTTTGTTATGATGTGTTGTCAGTGTCTACATGAGCGGGAGGGGGGGGGGGTAGGAACAGTTTGCATCCTAATATCTATAAAGGGGTAGGGGGTAGGCATTATGGTGGGTAAGCTATAATAATCTAGAAAATTTTCCACAACATTTTTAAATTATCTATGGATAACATTTTGGTATTTTTAGGGGGGTAGATATATATTTTTGAGGGGGGGGGGGGTTTGCATCCAGTTAATATACTGTCATGTAGACGCTGTGTTGTATTTACAATTTTTTGAAATATTTTTTTATGTACTCGTATTTTGATAAAATAATTTCTTTTAACAGGTGTATTAATTTTCCAAGGTGCTGATTGATTATTATTACATTTTAAAATTGTATGGATTATATTTTTGTTCATGGTATTTCAATTTACAAAAGAAAAGAATATAATTGAAAATTAATTATCAACAAAGGTAATACTCTTAAATTGAAAATAAAGTATTTGATATTTTTAAATAATATAAATTTCAATAATTTTATTGGGAATTCATGTACCATCTCTCGTTTCTTCCATAAATTCTACAAGTATTTGCTTTTTCATGATGTATAACATAAATTGAAAAGGAAGTATTAATGCCTTCTAAATCATTTTTAATAACTTGATAGATTCGGGTACTGATTTACAGGGAGACAGTATGCATAACAATTCACATATATAGTCATTTTGCTTAAAGTATTTTACTTGGGACTCCCTGAAAGATTTCCTTTCATAACACTTATCACATCATATGATTGAGGAACACAAATGACATTTATATTTATTTAGCGTTATTATCAATGAATCTGCAGTAGGGTCATAAACCTTTTCAAAAGATATAAAAGATTATTTTGGTATTTCTGTTTTATAAGGAAATCTAACACAAAAATTATGCATATGCGCTAAAATGGCGAGTGTCTTCAGCCATGACAGACAGTAAAATAACCTGCTTCCATAATTTGTGAAACTATGTAATTTAAGATAATTTTTTACTGCTGAAAGTATTTGATGTGCTTTATACAGACATTATTGTGGGTTTAATTGTGGTTTATATACCAATAAATATGGAATACCTTTCAAGCAACTTAATATATTACAATAATTCGCTAGATTCCTTTTTATTTCGTATTAATCACGCCTCCTAAGCTGAAGTTCTAGCTTACAACATATAATTCGGTTTACTAGCCGTTTTATATATTCCCTTCTTTCAAGAATTGTTTACTTGGTTATAGTTAAAGATTTTTTTTAATGGCCTCTTCTTTCAAAATTGTTTAAAATGGTTGCAGAGAATTATATTTGTTGCATGACAATAATACATTCGGCCTTTGCTCATAAAAATAATAAAATTAAATTGGATTTTTAATAATATTTTTTTAATTAGAACTGATATAATAGAATTTCTAAAAAAATATTTAAATAATAATATATCTAAAAAATATATATTAATTAATTTTTTTTTTCATTCAGGGGGCATTTCAAATTTTTCAGAGGGCTTGAGCTCCTTTCCCTCCTCCCCTTCTTAGTGATGCTACTGGAATCTTCTACTAATGTAATTATGTATACATACTATTATATTGAAGATTAATTAATTAGAAGTCTACACTAGCGTTTTTTAAAAGCTCGATATGGGTAGATTTATTAAAATTGCCCGATTACGATTTTAGCTAAAATAATATTATGTAAGGTAAATTTTTTTATTATTATTACATATTTTAACATCGAGATTTGGGAAATAGATGGCCAAGTATTTCTGCCAGCTATAAACAAAATCTTTAGACATATTTAATGTTATTTTGGTTATATTCTTAATCTGGTGGTTTTTAAGAACACTAGTCTACACTACATATATAGGAGTATGCTATAGTGCCTTGGGTTTGCTCATTGAATAATATAGTCTTATCGATCATTATAATCGACGTTCAAATTACAAAATAGATATTCAGTTGACTACTACGTATGCACACTTGCCTGAATTGAATTTTTAATATGGTTTATTAATGACGCTATTAAACTCAGATGGTTTATAAAAAAATATGATCTTAAATCTTCCTTCATTCATTAGATATGAATGTAAAATTTTAATAACTTGTATGTAATATATTTATTTATTTATCCAGATTGATGAAAAGGATACATGTAAAAAGGCTTTATTGAATCTTATAGATGATACCAGCAAGGTGTCTACATACTTAGATGAAGTTATTGGGTTTGTTAAAACTAATCTAACACAATATGAAAAAGTTATTTAAACATTAACTAAATAAATTTTATCATTAGATTAGGGGCTTGATATTTTACAAACCAAAAATCTAATATTTTTGGATTATATATCCAACCTGACTTATATCTTACACAAAAAAATTTCAGGAAAAACAATCAAAGATGATAAATCAGTAAAACAATTAATAGAATCAAGAGTGGTAATTAGACTTTTAAATAAAATATATTTACTATCCTTAATCTTTAAATAGTTGTTAAAACTATCTTGTTTTAAATTGGAAGGGGGTTATTTGAATAACATTGAAACAAGAATTACCACCTGAAATTTCTTTTATATTTAAATACATATTTAATAATAACATCTGTTAAATTCTATAATTTACTATGTGAATGGTATAATTTGGATATATTTTTGTTAATATTTGTTTCATATCCTGTGACTTGGTGCTGAATATCAAAGTATGTTAACACCATTAATGTTTCTGGAATTGGAAACTTATCCAAATTGGAAGGATAGGGAGTCACTATTTATTCAGATTAAATATTAGGTGGTAATAAAGGTCAGAGATCTGTGATGCATAATCAGTGGGAGGGGGTCCCCTTTGCATATTTGTATGTTGTAAATATCCTTTTAAACTAATAAAAATCCTCCTCTCCCATAAAATATTTACAATGTATATTACTATAAAGAAGAATTTGAAATTTTTTTTAGTAAAAGTTAATAACCTTTTAAATTAACTACTATAATTTAAAATTTTTAGTAAAAGAATTTTTTTTTTAAAAAAGTGAAAACCCAAATTTATTTTTATAAAAATCTTATATAGCCAAAGGCCTATAATAGGACCTAAAAATATCCCATAAAATTTATAGGAAACCTCACCTAATTTTGCCCCCCTTTTGGCAAAATTGTGGTTATATGTATGCTTCAGTAAAAGTCTGCAATGGGCAGATTTCTAGCCCACCCATCCATACTTTGGGTGGGTATGATCAGGTTTTCTAAAATATTTACAACATGGGAGGGGGGGGTTTGGTGAGCAGGTTAAAATTTTTTAAAGTAATGGGCAGGTGAATTTTTATATTTTTCAGACAAAATGAGCAGAATAGACTTTTATTAAAAAGGTTAGTTTTATTTCATAATATTGCATATTATATATTAATTATATTGTCTTATTAAGCACACATTAAAATAAATAGATAAAGAGCCAAAATGCCATTAATGGGTGAGTTTTAAAAAAATTTATAACAGTGAGTTAAAAAAATTTCAATACAAGTGGGCAAGCTTTTTTGCTAAAAACCTACCCATTGCAAATATGCCTCAGAGGTACCAATTGCCTAGCCTGGTCCTGAGTTTGTAAAAATTTTAAAATAAATGTTATTAATTTAAAATTTTGTTGAATTTCAAAATTAGGCCATTTAATATTTAATATTTAATTTTGTCAATTTTTTGTATTTGGAATACAAAATGTACCTATAACTTTAGAAATTCTTTTCTTGGTGGATCTTATTATCTCTTTTATTGTTAAACATGTATTGTTTGGAAATACCTAAAATGCAGTAAATTTCAAACCGTATATTTTTATACTTGTACTTAATTATTTATTCTTTAAAAATGTGCTATTAATTTAAAAAAAAGATTTAAATTTTCTAATTTAAAAATAAATATTTTTAAAAAGATGAAAGGAAATGGTTTTAAAACGTTCATATTGTAAACGATAATCATAGACAATCGAATACACGTTTATATTAATGTATAGTTATATGATTCCCATTGCCAATATATTTACCAACACCGCATAAAAAATAAAATCGAACTATTCAAATACATATTATGCAATACAGGGTTTAAAAATAAATATTTTATGAACATTATAATAAAGTTTTTAGAAAAAATAACGATGATGGAACGAAAACTGAAAGAGACGATACAGAAACAGTTAAAAATGACTCAATCCTTCGAGAATCTAAACGTGACCGAAAATATGCCGAGTATTCTAACATTAAGGCCTAACATCGCTAATATGATCGACGTTTTTTTAAAATATTTTATAATTACTCTAACAAATAAATGATTTTTAAAAATACGATATATATATCAATTTCTAATATAGGATGATGCCGATGAAGCATCAGAAATTGACTCGTCTAACGAAACTGCCCATAATGGTGTATCTATCTCTCAACCTGATTCCTTTCCCATATCCAAATCACGTGAACAAGGAAGTGACCAAAAATATAGGCCGCCTAAAATTATGTCTGTCCCTTACCAAGATGGCATAGTTGGCAGTAAATTTCGCCAAACTATTTCGGACGATGATTCATATGACCGTTCTGATGATAGTGATGCTGGAGACTATCCTAAAAAGACAAGAAAACTAAAAAATGGCGATGAATCGAATTTTGAAAGAAACCAAATGGCAACTTCTATCGATTTCAACAATGAAATGTTACCATCTAAATTGAGCAAAAGACAAAAGATTGTGGCCAAATCTAAGAAAAGGGCACTGAGAAGTGGGTTGCTAGACGAACTGAGACAGCAATATGGGGACCGACCAGAGGAATATAAGGTGATTTAAAAAAAATTAAGCTATTTCCCAATTTTTATGGTCAATGTTAACATAAAAATGGAGTATTGACATATGTATATCAGATACCTGTAGGTCCGGCCATAACCCCAGCCCATGTTCGGGCCAGGCCTGAATTTTTTTATTTTTTTAAAAAAACACTCAGACCGGGTTGTATATTTTAAAACCAAATATTTTAAATAGCTATTATTAGCTATTAAAATTAAAAATAAATAAAATATATTTAAAAATGGGCATAAAAATATAAAACCCAGGCCAGGCAGAAAAATTATCATAAGAAAAAATCTGGGCCGAGCCGTACAAATGGTACCTCTACAGGTCTATGATATATATATATATAAATTAGGAGATATCTTATGATACTCGAAATAATAATCAAATTTTGTATTAACTATTTGATTAGGAACGTCCCGATTTTGCTAGGAAGATGATTCAGAAAGAAATGGATGACAGAAATAGATATGAAGAAGATTACATGGTTCGGCTAAATTTGACCAAGAAAGATAAAGTAACTGTTATATCACCATTAATATTATTAATTGGTTTTACATTTTGTAATTTACGATAAAATATTTAGTACTGACAAATTTTGTTGGGAATTAATTTAAAACGTTATTATGCTCTCCATAGCATTTGTTTTAAACTATTCTCTAATATCATAGATTTGATTTTCTCTAATTTATAATTCATCTCTGTCATCATCTTAATAATAAATTGTTTAAAAAAAATTATGTAATGAACATTTTCTTTATAATTTAAAGCATAAAATGAAACTATTGAGAAATACATCAGGGGCTCTTAATGATATAACCGACTTCAAGGATTATAGGGATCTAATGGTCGAAGCGGCCGAAGAAGAGAATACAAAAGTAATTTAAAAATCTCCGATATAATATATATATACACAAGAAGTGAGCTAGGCAGAGTCAAATCTATAAATCCGATTCAAGCAGATCAATAAAATTGACATTAACTTATAATAATACATATAGTTGCTTTAATATTTAGTGCTTTATTTTTACAGATTAAGACAAGAAATAGATTCTTATATTTCGTATAATCTTCCTTTATCTATTTTAACCCCCTCCCCCCACACAAATTAGTTATATATGTTTTCTCTTGTAAAATAGGGCTTAGATAAAAAGCCATTATAGTTATCAAATGACTATATGGCATGCTATGATTATGAACGACCGAAAAAGTTTATATGCCCGAATGTCCACTAAAGTTATTAGTAACATTAAAAATTATGAAGGTGGTTTGGCTTGATGGTAAAAGCTTTTCAAAAACAGCTGTAATTTCTTTCATTTTAAGAAGTGAAAAATAAATATGTTTTCCTTAGGAGTGTAAAAGACCATGTTTATAAAACAACAAAAACACGTTTTTTAACCCTATTTCTTTGATCGGTAATATTTTTTTTTAGGGCTGAGCCGATATTAAATATCGGATCAGATCGGTACCTATATTTAGCGTTTTCCGGTCATATCAGATCGGGCCGATACCTAAAAAACCTATCCGTTTTTTTTACTTTTCTTTTCTTTTTTTTCTTATTTTATTTTATGTATGTATATTTATTTTACATTATTATAATATTTTCTAAATAATTTTTTAAAATTTTATTTCTTTTTTAAAATAGATTTATTTATAGTATTTTAAAAGTTTTTTTTTATAAAAATAGAAAGAACCACCCAAAGTTTTATTTATTTTAAATTTTTTTAAATAACGCCAATTTTTTTATTTATAATAGAAAGAACCACCCAAAGTTTTATTTATTTTAAATCTTTTTAAATAACGCCAATTTTTTTATTTATACTTTAAATAATTTAAATATGGTAACTGAATTATGGAAATATTTTACAAAAGACAAAGATAATTTTGCAAATGCGTTATCTGCGGAATCATCTGAGTCTGCCTTCAGTACAGCAGGAAATATAGTTAGTCCATATCGTAGAAGCTTCCCAGAAAATCTGGAGGCTCTCATATTTAAAAAAATCGAATATATTATAATTTTTAATTTTATATATTAAATATTACAATTTTATAATTTATACCAACATAAAATGGATATATTTTTTTAATATAGTCTTAATTGTAGAAATAAAAAAATTAAATTAAATTCATAATTATTTGCATAAAAAATATTAATTTCTTAATTTGGTACAAACCAGGGTGATCAAAAATCAGATCGGTATCGGATCGGTTTTGTAACAATATCGGATCGGTAAAAATATGTGGATCGGCACAGCCCTATTTTTTTTGCTATAATGTATTTTGGTTAAACAAGTAATGTTATCAAATGTGTGAAACTTAAAGCCATCAATTTTCCCACATTTAAAAACAATTTTTTGACGATTTTTATATTTAATTTTGAGATAATTAATATAAATAACTTATTTCGCTCCCCTAATGATTAAAATTAATTGGCATTTTTATTCCTAATTAATTAGGGTCTAATGATAATTTAAAAAAATCATGTAAATTATCCAGTATTATGAGGAAAAAAAATACTTGAAATTATATTGATATTAAATAAATCAATGATTTAATTTTTTACACTTAAAAATTTATTCATATATACACGAAAAGGCAAAATCAAAACGGAGAAATGTGAAATTCGTCAAAAAGACAAAAAAATGGACTAAAAGCAAAGGCAGAAAGAAAAAGTTAATTTTTTTAAATGTTCCCTCATTTTATAGAAACTTTTGTAAAAATGACAACTCAGCCAGAATCATCTAAAATGTATTTGGAATTGATTGCTCACCTATCAACCCATATTAAGAATAATATAAGTTAGCAGTATTTTTTTTGCCTAAAGTGCATATACTCTCGGTTCACGAATTGACAAATACTTTCTCAGGGTCAATGCAAGCCGGCCTTTGGAAATTTTTGAAAAGGTTTTTCATTCCAGCCCATAAAATAATTATGTACAAGTTGTCAGGCCTGTCTTGACTCATAACAATTTTTTATAATAGAAAAAAAACATAAATTTTCCTAATTATAAAGCTTAAAATTTTTTTATGAACGTCCGGCCCAGCCTCGGTAAAAATCTTTTTTGCACAAGTTGTCAGTTCCGATAAAATGGCTCTTTTTAAAATTTCATAATTTATTTATTATATAAATTAATGTTTATTATATAAAAAATAAGTGATTTATTAATAAAAATATTTTATATACTTTTAGATTCCGGAGTATAAACTATAACTGATTATACTTATGTTATGATATAGTTAAATTATAGTTGTTATACTATTAAAGAGTATATGAGATGAGTAGATGCATGCAATAAAAAATTAAAACGGTTAGCATGTGTAAAGAATACAAAATCAGATATGATATCGGATCGGTAATCGGCCGATATCAATTTAATATCGGATCGGCCGATATCAATTTAATATGGGATCGGATTGGCCTCCAAAAAGTGGTCCTGGTATGATGTGCTAGTTCTTGGTCGACTTTTTAAAATATTTAGTTCACATTAGTCAATTTACAATCATATATTTTTAAAATACATTGATGATAAAGATAATATAATATTTATACGATTATTCTATTCATTCCCCCTATTAACAGATTCTGAGGAGGAAAGCACTCGTTAAACTCTAACTTCCTTTTATCTCGATATGGATGCTTACAGCACATTTGAATATTTTTATAACTCAAATTTACGATTATTAAAGAAATTTTTGTATAACATGTCTTGAAAATAAAGAATTCATATATTCGCGAATACAGTTAAACCTCCGAGGCTGATCACCTAATTATTTTGACCTCTAGAGACCCTCCCTTCTCCCTCTAAAGGTATATAATATGACCAGAAATGGGTTTCATTATATAAAATATTAGATCTCATAATTTATACTTGAATCTCGACAAATACAAATGATTGAATTAGATTTCTGTGATATCTATAATTTATTATAAAATGATAGGTTTTTATCCTAATTATTTTTCTTAAAAATAAATAAATATAATATGTTTCTTTTAATAATCGAGAGAAATGCTTATATACAAAAATTATCACCATTTTTTGCGACCCTGAATTTAAAAAAAATAAATTGTAATATTTTTCTACGTCAAATCAAATTTTTTTCCTAGAAGAGAATATGTGTCCTATGTGCAATTTCGATATTTCTCCCTTAATATCGGTTAACTTGTACCTCCTATTACTGTTATTCAGTGACTGCCTGCCAACGAAATATCGGTTCATCCTATTTTCAGTTCTATTGTAATTGGTATTATTTTTATTATCCCCGAAATTTCTGGATTCCAATCTGAAATTCGTGTTGTCTTTATTTGCCGTCATCGGGATGTTGGAAGAGGAATGATAGCTATAATGTATGAATCTGTTTTCCAAATCCCTTATCATGGAATTAAGTATTCGAACATAATCGGGAGTCAAGCATTGAGAATCTTCTTTCAAGCAAATCAAAGATGGAAGTAGAAAGGTGGATATGATAGATAAGGAATTATCTACGGTAATTATAAAAAAATTAGTAAAATCAATAAATATTCATAAATTACGAACATATAAGATGTTCATATTATGGTCTAACTATTCCTATAGCAATATTTAGCAGTTGACATAACTTGAAATTAAAATAATCTTTCTTCCAAAAAACATTCACAATATTATATGAAATAGAAATTGTAAAGCGGAACTAAGGGTTGCAAGAATTCTGTTGGAAAAATCTCAGATGCAGCAATAATTACCGAGTCTTAAAAAGTTAGAATATAGTAGTAAAAATTTTTTTGAATATTCTATAATCATGGTTTAATTGATTCTGGAAATAGTAGTAATATACCTTTGTCGAGACAGATAAAAATGGATTTTGTTTTACAGGAGATATTAAAGACTATATTAATATTTGCTAGTGGCTTTAGCTAATATTGAAAATTTTTCGAATACTTATTTTGGTAAGTAGTACTAGTTTTTTTAGAGTGGGACGATCAATCTTATCATTTGATTGTAAAATTAATTATAAGAAGGACGGTGTAGCATAAATTGTGTTAATAGATTGGTGAAAATAAAGAAGCTATCTTCGAATAAGATTAGGTCTATAACAAAAATGAATGCGGTGAGCCATTTTATCAATGCTACGAAAAAATTTAAGCAGACCCTAATTAAGGTTATCAGGCCGATAGGCAAATAGTTTTATTGAGAGAATAATTAGGATGTATGTTAAAATTTGGGGGGCGAAAGGGTCTACTTTTATAAATTAATACCATGGTGCGCAAATATACCATGTTCAACTGTTTGGCCATATCTCTTATTTAGTATTAACCTTCCTTTTTTTAAAATAAAGTAAAGCGTTTTAATGAGATTTTTAAAAAAAAGTAATCATTAGTGATATCCATATTGTAATTTAATACTGACCGTGGACTAATTTATAAAAAGAATGTACGATCCGAGAAATATACTTATTTTCAATTGAAATATTTAAAAGGGATCGATAAAAATTGATGCTTATTAATTTTTTAATCTGTCGTTAAATTTCTATTATCAATGGCGATTGGGTAATATTTAAACAAGGTATAGTTATACCGTATTTAGATTTTGTTTTAAAAAAAATTAACCTCGACAACAAGATATAGTGGACAGAGCTTGAAAAAGGGCAGATAATATTTCGACATTCTTTTCCGAAGGTGGCATTCGATTGTTCGCCGCGATTAGGTGAGACAAGAAGGGTATGATATCTTGTATTAATTTTTTTTATAAAAATTTAACTCTATTTGAACTGATTGTGCTATTATTATCTCATAAAATTCACTTCATTTCCCCTTGTCAGGCATTTAAAATTTCCCTATCAATCGCCTTAAATTTCCACTACTCGGCTTAATTTTAAATTTTGGGTTTTTTCTCCTAATTTTCATTTTTTTCCCTTCTATCCATATTCACCAAATTATTCTTTTTTGTAATCGTTTCACGGAAAGCCAGGTGTGCGTATAATCTCTTTAATTATCACACAACCAAAGCTATTATTTTAAAAATATAATGCCAAACAAAATAAATTTGATCGGCTACCTATTGATCATAATACTTTTTTTAGCAACTCACATTTCTCTCTAACTATAGAGCACTCCGTATTAGTTCCGATTTGGCCGAGCATTTTAATGATCCCCGTCAAATGCCTATCCCTCGTGTCTGAATCTCCGTTGTTGTTAGGGCCTTTGCTATATGTGGTAGTTATTTCGCCTCTCACGAACGATGTAAAAAGGGCGAAGCATCTCAATAAAATCTTTAAAAAAACATAGTATTTATTTTAAGGTTTGAGCCTTATACCTTTTTTTAAAAAAAATAACGCAGGAAAATATAAATAGCCGCTAGTGTAATCAACTCCTCTTTAAATTATTTATAATTTTTCTTACAGGAATTCATTTTAAAAGCTGAGAGAAGTGTTCATAAAATTAAAAATCAATTTTTTTTACCTTGAAATTTTCAATAAAAAACCCTCCAAATATGCCTTCTCCTTTCATTATTTCTCTTTGGTAATTAAATATGCGGAAGTACAGTAATGTGTCACCAACTAGTTAAAATTATCCTGTGACCATGGTAAATACTGTGTTTATAACATCTTTAAAATGTGGTATTAACAAATAAGTTCTTAAAAAAATATGACTTCATAACGCTGAGAGTGTTACATTTTTTTTACATTGTATATCAAAATACTACACATAAATTTTAATAGTTTTTTTTAATCCCGCTTTTTATATATTACTGTTATACGATGGTTTATAAAAAAATCACATAATAGTCTTAAAAAGCTATAAAAGGAAAAGAAATTAAGAAATATACTATTCAGTTTATTTTGTCACTCAACTTTTTTACATCTTATTTTCATTAACAAAATGTCTATATTTCGGAAATAATAAATAAATTAAATCATAGATGCCTAAACTAACTTGTGCCACCTTTATTCTTTTGTAGACATTAAATTTAACCACAGATTGCTAAATTGATGTGCCATTTTCCTTTTTTTTAAAAGATTAACATTAGTTATGATTAAATATCCGCAATGGCTCGGCCCAATTCCCCCCCCCATCGTCGATAGGCCTCTGCTATTTAGCTCATTGATGATTCTTCTCTGACCCAATCTAGTAAAACACTTTGGTGATTAAAATAGTTAAACTACCTTGGCCCTTTTCACGTTCGGTTCAAGCCGGGATAATGACGAAGAGTAAAACATAAAAAGAAGGATCAATTACAAACGATGCTATACAAAGGATGGACTGATACTTAAAATATAATGATATTTGTTATGTATAAAACCTGTAATATTTAAGAAAGTAAAATTTAATACCTGGATTTTATAATTTTTGTAATCATAGTAAAAATATTAATATTGATATAAAAGGATTTCATATACACATACACAATAAATTTAATAGATACTTTTGGTCATCTGCAGAAATTACTTATTTATTTTTGAGAGGGAGATTAATGTTAAAATATTAAAAATAACATCCTTCGAAATTTATAAGATTTATGTTGTGTTAAACCAGCTCCTTCCAGTTTTAGATATAAACAACAAATAAGTAAGTTAAAAAAAAACTTGATTTGGTTCGAATTGCTCATTTGAGACTGAGCTATCAACCTCTTCTCCTTCTTTTTCTTCCTGAGTATACAAGTATTTAGCCATAGTTTCGCTTTCATTTTTTCCGTATTTACTGCAAGTTTTCAACGGGCGTTTCAAATCTAATCTAATATGTTGAATCAAAGTTCCCAGAACTTCGAGTGATATATCTTTTATACAGGGTTCGGGGTCCGTTTGAGCGAAAGAGATGAGGCAAGCACTGATTCGGTTAAACAAAGTATGATGGTGGGAATCGATAGAAGGAACGTAAGGTAAAATATCTTGGTAAAGTCTTCGTGTTTTTTTAAAAAAAAAAATTTTCTTCTTTCTTCCATAAAGTATAACAAAAAATAAAGAAATATAGATGTCTAACCACTTCAATATTAATAAAACATAAATATTATAGTACTCACGCTCATACTTCTACAGAAAAAGAGATATAAGTATTTTTTATTAGATTTAAAAAAATTATTATTGCTACCTAATAGCGGAATATTTGACGGGTACCATAGCATGACAAGATAGGTCCGATAGGATTGAAATGAGGAGATGAACGTTTGATTTGGCGTTGCGGTGGCTTTTAATTAGTTTAAATTTATCAGTGAAGAAGATTCTGATTATTACTATATATAAATACATATAGGGTCTTCACTATGTGCAATACCGATAATTTAGAAATATATCGAAGATTTAATCCGATACATCATAAAACTATCTTGATAATCAAGTGATACTCTAACTACTCGGCATATGTGGGCTTGATTAAGAGATCTACATTTTTGATAGAAAGGTATGTTGAGACTAAATTATTTCTATATTTTTTAGATTTTATTTATTCATTTCAAACAAAAAATTATTTTAAATATCTTTTTCTGCCTTCTCAATATTAATAAAACATGTTCTATCTTTCATTTATGTATTTTTTTTGAAAACAATATTTACTAGGAGTAGGTTTAAAAAAAAAATCAGATTGTTATTATGTTAAGGCTTGGGATTAAACCTGCATTGGAATTTTTCCTGAATTCGATATAACTGGAATATCGAATTCAATAGAAAACTAGCGGAACAAATATTTCTCACATAAATGAGATCCATTACGTATCTGTGGTGAAATCAACATTGAGAAATTTCTAACAAAACACTCAGAATAGAAAATACAAATCGATATTTATTAACAAAAGTGGGGAGGGGGCTTTCTATCATAGGTGGTTATAAATTTCGTAGAGTCCGGCGCGAACTCGGGAATCTGTGTAGGGGGGATTTAATTTTTTTACAAAAATAATTCCAGGAGTCATTTAAGAATATCAAGTTTCATAAATTTATTAAAATTAGTAAGTGTTGTTTAAAATTTGGAAGCGTTATTAATTCATATAATAAATTAGCAGCGTATTTATATCTGCTGTAAATGTGAAAAATAAATGTAAATTAGAATATATATGTGCTAAGATGCAGGAATCTAATATTTTAGCAGTAGATTAGAGGGGTTGTTACCCCCCCCCTAACCCGTCGCGTATACGCCTGGTGGTGTCATATTCGACAGAGTTAGTATCTACCTTATAATTGAATCATTTATTCTAGTCATCAGGGGGGAGATTGGAGGTTAAGACCGAGCAATTTGGGGAGAGACAAATAAGTTAAAAATTTTATTTTAATTATAGTTTTATATATATTCTAATCAGAGTTCACTGCTATTTTGCAAAATGTAGAAGAAGAAAAGTAAAGAGATACCATGTATTTTATTACCAGATCTCCCTGAAAGTTGCCTTGATAGCTAGTGGCTGTGAGTTGGAGAGGGATGTCGATATTATGAGATCCTTTATAAAATTAGACATTTTGTCACTCGAAAGCGAATCGATATAAGGTGGCTGGTCAGTTATTTGAATTTTTGGTTGGTCACAGTTTAGCTTGTCGTTATAAAATTTACAGGAAAAAAAATGCATATAGATCTTTCCTATTTTTATCAGATATTTAAAAATTATATAAAAGAGTTGGTTTACTGTTTGGTTTTGCAATTCAGTCATTGGCTCTAAAATTCCGGCTATATAAACGGGGAAAATCATCTTAATGAAAATTGAATGGCATTTTTGGTCAGAAGACGGAATTTTAATGGTTGCTGTAGCATTAGACCGTGTGCCGAAAGTAGCATTTTTCTCTATTTTGATGAAATGCAAGTTTTAGTGATCAAATAATAACTATAATTTAAATATAAATAAAAAAATTCGGGTTTACACTGTGTTAATGCTAATAATTATGTCATAGTTCTCATAAATGTTATTATAATTAATCCAAAAAAGGATTAAGTACAAAAAAGAAAGAAATTAAGCTTTTTTACGAATTAACTTAAAAAATAGTTGATCAAAAGTATGAATACGAATACCTCGGGAATGAAAATTAAAAGTAAGTTTTACGAATACAAGTTTTGATATAGGAAAATGTATCAGTAAATGTAAGTAAGAATTGGCATCGGATCGGCATGAAAATCAGAAATTTTAGTGGCATCGATGGAGTTGTCAAACGGTTCGATGAGTCGATTTAAAAAAACGGCAAACTCATAATTTTATCAATAAAATTATTACGCAAGCCTGAAAATTTTACTCATGCTCCTATGTGGCACAAAGGTTTGAACATCTATTAGCAAAATCTCGAGACTTAGACAGGATTTTTCTGGCTAAAATACTGAGTTCTTTTAATAATCGGCTATATCGAGCCGTTAAACAATACTAGGCACCGATTCCAAATTTTCACGATGATTCTATACTGGTGAACTTAATCTATTTTTGATATTTTAAAAAATATTTGGAATTTTGTTTTTTAAAACTTAATTATCATTCCAGTTTATGCATAAGGACCTTAACTGTGCCAATTCAAAAGAAGAAAAAAAGGTAATAGAATCAACTTTGGAAAAAACGGTAGTCTTATTATATGGGTGACATGCCAAACGTAGATAGAGGTGTTGATTCTACTGTTGTTGTAATCAGATATGCATGGAAAAGAAGTTACGAGAAATGTAGTTTATTATATAAAAACGTCTTTCCGAAGGGTAACGTTTACATAAGTTGTGTGAAAAGTTATAGTACACGAAACTAAATGGGAAAGAACGGATATGCTAATGGTTAGATGAATGTGCTGAGCTATCACTGAGAGATAGAAACAAGCAAGGAATTGAGAGAAGTGATTAGAATAGAAACGATTAAAGTGGTGATGATAAGAAATGGACTGACTTGGTTTGGGCATGTTGAACGCAAGATAAATATGATTGGGTATAGAGACACAGCTTAACGGAAGTAAGAAGATAAAGACCTCGAGGAGGATACAAGACAATGTCGATGAAAGTGATAACGGGTAATAAAAAATGGATCTTACAAATAATAGCGATGCCCAGGAGGGTAAAAAAAATGAAGAAGACGAATCAGGTGGAAAATTTGCTTCCCCGGGTAAACCTGCAAAACGGCCATTAAACGGAGTAAAATAATGAGACATATCTCAGATACATTTTTTTTAAGATTCATCCTTCTAGGAATTTCGTTCTTTTTAGACGTCGATTTTTGATTGTTTTACTATTATAATTATCAGAGACCTGCAGGCCCGGCCCTAAACCCGGCCGTATTTTAAATTTTTTAAATATACCCGGGCCGGGCCTAAAAAATTTTTTTTAAACATATCCGGGCCGGGCCTAGAATTTTTTTTTAAATATATCCGGGCCGGGCCAGGTCTAAGATTGTTAAACCCGGTCCGGGCCGGGCCTTAATATTTTTTATAAAAATTTTTACATTATGAGTTAATGGTTATAAGATTATATTATATTATAGTTATGATTAATATAATATTGGGTGATGGTTAACACTACCTAACACCCACAGATCGATCTAATTATTAATTTCCTGCAAATTTATTCAAAGTATTAATATATTTTTTTATAATTCAAATCTAAATTTTTACAACATATTTTACCAAAACAATCAAATAAAGGAATATCTTAAATAAGCCCCAATATTCAAGTATTATTAATATTTTTTTATAATTCATATCTAAATTTTTAGAATATATTTTACCAAAACAATCATATAAAGGATTATCACTTCTTAAAGTTTATAATTGATTTTACTTAATATAAAGCATTTTTTAATTGAAAATTTTGTTTTACACAAGTATCATTTTATTTCTCTTTTTCTCTGTCCCAAATTCAAGCAATTACGTATGTAGTCAGGGACAGATCGCAAGATGACGGAAAACTATATAAAAGATTATATTAAATTACAAGAGGCTCAGGAAGTAAATGAAATACCATCGACCAGTCAAATTACGACTGTTGTTAAACAAACTGAATCGTTCTATGACAAATGGGGCGATGGTAATTCTGGTAATATGTCAATACCCGATGGTGAATATTATAATTACATAAATAAAAAAATAGATGAAACATTTAAGGTGGATAATTTGTTAGAGTGGTGGGCGGCTCATCAAAGCGAATTTCCAATTTTAGCAAAATTGGCAATTCCTGCTTCAAGTGCAAGCTGTGAGCGGAATTTTTCCACTACTGGGAGAATTCTTGAAGAAAGAAGAAGTAATCTTCAACCTGAAAAGGTAGATATGCTTCTCTTTCTTCATGATAATTTGTGAATTTTTAATATCTTTCTTGAGTATAGGGTTTCGTCAATCATGCTGGTTTTTTACTTTGCAAACTGTCAAATATTTATTGCATTTATTATATACCTTGAGTCATGAAAGTTTTTAATCCAACATTTTTCATTATTTTTTTTTACAATATTATATAATACAATTATCTTCTTTTGTTAAAAATTTATATTATAAAATAAATTATATTAATATTGTGCAATTAGATTATATTTTCAAAATACTATTTATTATACATGCATTTTTTTAAATAGCGATTTATTTTTATTTTATAAATTAAATAGTAAATTAAATACAATATATTATATTCTCAAAATATTTTCCATTTTTATAAATTAAATATTAGTTTTATTTTATTTAAATGCAATATAAAATATAGTATATGCTCAAAATATTATTAGCATTTTTATGAATATTAGTTTTATTTTTATAAATGCAATATAAAATATAGTATATGCCAAAATATCCATTTTTATAAATAACAGTTTTATAATTTTTATAAATTCAATATAATATTTTCAAAATATTAGCTTTTTACATGTATTTTTTAAATAATAAGCGATAATACTGGCTGAAAAATATGGTAAAATACCTCATAGGTGAATTTTTGTATATACCAGGTCGAATATAATTTTTAAAAAATTCCGAGCCGGGCCTGAAATTTTTAAATCCGGGCCGGGCCGTAAAAATTTTTAAATCCGGGCTGGGCCTTAAATTTTTAAATCCGGGCTGGGCCTTAAATTTTTAAATCCGGGCCGGGCTGTAAAATTTTTTTTAAAAATATCCGGGCCGGGCCTAAAAAATTTAAAACCGGGCCGGGCCGTGCAAATGGTACCTCTGCAGGTCTCTGATAATTAATATACCGTTTTATGATATCTATCAAAGTGAACAGCCGATATTTAAAAAAAAAATCAATTTTCGTCAGATTTTGACTTCCTAAATCCCAACCAGAGTTAAATAGTTTAAGAGCCTGTCATCATTGTGTATTTTGGATATCGATAATATCTTCAAAATCTGCTATCTTGAATCTTATAGTAACTAAAAATTTCTCTGATCTTTTATATAAGATATTCTAATCTATTCACTTTTTTATTTCTCTACCGTCACAAGATTATGAAAATCAGTGCTATGCTTCAAACTTAAATTATGGCAATTTCTTTTATTAAGTCGCATTTTTTAATAATTACAAGAATCTTTAAAAATACATTTAATATTTTTCTTCAAAATATAATAACTTATACATAAATATTTTAAAATACTATTTAACAATATAAAATATGTAACACGCCCCCTTATCAAATTTTTATATCACTGGCGGCGTGCTGACACTAATTATAAAAATAGATTTAATTTTATTTATACATAATAAACATATTATGCAATTAAAAGCCTATTATAATTTTTATAAAGAAAAATTATCACTGAAATGAGTTAATTACACCACAGCACAATGTATTTTTTCTATAGATGACATTTCACTTTGATTGCTAATTTTAAATATAAAGCGTGAAAATAAAACATAATTGAAATTGTATCTCTTTAAAGAAGATATTACATAAAGATAAGAAAAATAGAATTAGGCTTTGATGTGTAGTTTATAGTTTTCTTAAAAAGCAAAAAGCGAATCCTAATTAATCTTACGTATAAAAATATAATATCCATCTCCCGTGCTAGGCTTCATTATTTTTATTGCAATTTGATTTTTTTCTAAATAACGGTAACTGTAACCCGTTACTTTCTTTTCCACATCATAGTAACTTAATCGTTACATCTTTTCCCCAAGTAAAGGTATAGTAACGGTTAATATTTCCTTTTTGAGAAAAGTGCCCAACCTTGTATCATATATACGGAATATTTTTTAACTTAATTCGCAATCTAAAATTATGATATTAAAGTAGTATCTTTAGTCTTAACCCGTATAAAAATTTGTATGATAAGTTAAAAAAAAAATTTTTTAAGTGCCCCTGACTGAAAATTACAGGTTGCGGGCCCTGTTAAATAATGTTCAAAATACATATAAAGAATAGGGTTTTGACCATTTAAAAAAAAATAGCACTAAAACACCATCATGAATATAAAGAAAAAGATATATTTTTTTTTAAAAGAAAAATATTTATCAACGATCTGGCTTTTAAGGTCATGGAAAATATACCTGATATTCCGGATAAGGAAATTATGGCATCTCGAAACATAGGATCTACCTGAATAAAATATTTAAAAATTTTTTTGTTAAGATCTTTAAAATTGATTTGGTCATGTAGGGCCTCGCTTATAAGTAACTATGTAATGCCGCAATGTCGTTCAAAAGAGACGTAATTTATAAAATGTAAGCCGATAGATTATACAGCAAAGCTACATTTAGCAATGAATTATGCATAGCTAAATTAGGATATTTTGAGCATTTGTGCATTAAAATTTTTATCGTCTGCTTACTATATCGCGTTGACATATTTTAGAGAAATAGATGTAATCAGAATATATTTAAAACTACCCCCCCCCCACCCCCATAATTTATAATTATAGTATGGTGTGCTTTACATGCCTAATTCAATTGTAAGACTTTTAAAAAAATATTGGTTGTTGGTAATAGTAGTATTGGTTACGAAATTTTGCCTTAAAACTTCTATTAGTTATTTATTTTTTCTGCCCTATGACTATATCTCTCAGAAGTTGTAACAAAATAAGGCAGTTTAGTGTCCATTTATTTAAAAAAGACAGTTTTTATGGCTATCCAGTTTTCCCTTTACGATTTTTAATTAAATTCAATTTCATGTCATAAATGGCTATAATAGAGCTATATAATAAAATTTAAATAATGGCTTTTAGCTAAATTATATTTTTAGATATTTAAATAAATGTTGGAGTTTCTGCGTTTTTAAAGATCATATCTAAGTAGTATGCCAAGTTGGAAATAATTTTTTATTAGCTAGCTTAATATATTAACTATCATCATACAAATTTTAAGTAAAATCGAAAGGGGAGAGGTGAGGGGAGTTAGATCTTCAGCTGATTTGACATGAAATTCAATATGGATATTATATTTAATTATTTATATTCATTAAAAAGATTTTCTCATTCTTTCTTTCTTTATATATTTCCGAATTAACTCAATAAAGAATTATAAAATTTTGAAAAATATTTTTTAAACTTTAAAAATAGCAAAATGTGTCAAAAAAATATTTGGCACATTAATTTTTCGATTATTGTAATTCTGTCCAATATTTTACCTTTATTCATTCGTTCGGCGTGGATTAAAAATTCATATATTTATAATATCGATATGTACTATGCTAAGTTTAAATAAATTCATAAAATTTAAAATAAAGAGAATTTTAGATATAAATTCCTTTCTCCAAAAAATAAAAAAACCTTTTTGGCAATAAAAGTAGGGCCGAAGGTGGCTACCAAATGGCGCAAAATATCGCAAAATACGCGCAAACGCAAATGATCGGACAAATGAGTGCCACAATCCAACGAAGCTAGCATTTTTAACAGGGAAGGAACGCTTTAATGTTTTTTTGGAATGAAAAAGAAAGATAAAAATAAAATGAAGAGACGAAATTAAAAAAAGAGAATAAAATGAATGAATTGAAGAGGGAGAGGAGGGGAATCAAATATATAAATAAAAGAAGAATAAAAACTAATTATTTACAAGGTGCTTGTCACGTAAGATAATTCGTTCCAAATCAAGAACCATTCGTCTTGCACCAACGTTTCGAATTTGATTTTGAGAAGTTTCAAAGAATTATCGCCTAACAGCAGGTTCAAATCGTTTAGGCAAAAGTCGGTTCTCGGGTAAGGAGAACCTATTATTTTAAACGAATTTTAATATTTAAATAATTTACGAGGAATGAAGCAATTAGAAAAACTTTAATGATCGCTTTAATACCGGTTAAGAAAAAAAGTAGGTTACGCCAGTTTGTTCGTATTCGTTTAGAAATGAGAAAGAGATATATTGGAAAAGAAATACTGAAGTTGTATACAAACATAGAAGAGAGCGATCAAAAAAAATGAAAGGATGTAACTGTAGAAGGCTTATGGAACCCTAAACCTATAGGTTACGACAGTTTGTTCGTATTCGTTTAGAAAGGAGAAAGAGATATATTGGAAAAGAAATACTGAAGTTGTATACAAACATAGAAGAGGGCGATCAAAAAAAATGAATGGATGTAATTTTAGAAGGCTTATGGAACCCTAAACCTAACGGAGGACATGGCGAATGACAGAAAAGAGTGAAGGACTGGAATTAAGGGTGATGAAAGAACGAACTATTCATATGAATGTTATTATTTTGTGGTGGTAGTGGGGGAGGGGCGGGGAAGGAACAGAAAGAAAGTTTTCGTTATTTTTGTAAATATATAATTTTTAAATATTCATTCTTTCAATTATCTTTAAATGTGCGATCGCGTTTCCTATTTTTTCTTCTCAATTTTTTATATTTATATATTTTTACTAAACTAAGAGGGCAATCATTTTCGTCGATTCCCTTTCCTGTAACATTATACAGGTCCGGGTAGGGTGAAGAGGTGAGGGCTGGTCCCCCGCTAAAACGCCCCGTTGTTCCTGTAGATAATATTCCATTGTCGTCCACGAAAGTTTTGGTTTTAAAATGAGCATCATTATGAAAATCATGGGCGATGGGCGAATCATCCTTAGCATCGCTAACCATGCATTCCCGATTACAGAGGGATTCCTGACAACGCTCGGCAACGCATTCTCCGGAAGGACATAAATTTGCAATTATTTCGACACTTTTCGCGCCTTCGCGGGTAAATTTTGAACAAGTTTCTTCGATAATATCAGGGGTGGAAAAGAAAGGGGCTCCTATCAAAACTGAATAAAAAAGGAAGGGAGTGAGTACACATAGGCAGGAGGCGTAAAATAAGACCTTTTGAAAGGGGAAGCCGATTTCGTGAGGATCCTTTTCCTTATAATAAAATAGGGAGTAAAGAAAATAATCAAATTATATGATTTTAAAAGAGAAGAATAGAAAGAAAATGGAAACCCAAAAATAGAAATAAATAATGAATAAATTTAATTACAATTTTTTTTAAAAAAAAATGAACTCTAAACCTGAGCTATACAACGTTCCAAAGCTGTCAAGATATGGGAAAGCAAGCAATCGTGGAACGTTCCTTGATTCAAAGCCCAAACGGCAAGTGATGGCAAAAATAGTTCAAGTATAAGATCGAATAAATTGTCTTGCCCTCCTCCCATCATATTTTCACCGTGTAATAAATCTCCGGGATCGTTATTCGCGCGTATTTCTCGCAAAAACCGATTTTGGATACCGTTTTGAGAATGGTGGCTATGTTGGGAAGGAAGAATGTAAGGATCCGAGGAAGCGTTATCCAGAATTTGGAGTGCCTTTTTTTGTTTGTTAAATAAAGATTCCTAAATCGAGTTCAAACTAATTTAACAGAACCTGGATGGTATGTTTCTTGAGTAGTTCAGAACGTCGCCGAAATAATCAATAAAACGCAAGCTATTTCTCATTTTATTCGCGAACATTATAAGTTATTATCAGAGATGTACTGATTCCACTCTTTTTTTAAAGCCAATACCACCGATACCAAAAAAAATATATAAAAAATATTTATTTATCATATATAATTAATTTAAAATTCAAAAGAGTAAATTAAAAAGATAAAATTAATAGGAAAAAAATAATAATAAAATCACTTTTCTTCCTTCTTTCTCATCGTTTTAGAAGTTTGAATACAATTTTTTTTAAAATATTTATAAGTTGTTTTTTCTGTACTAGAGTCAATTTATCTTTGTCCTTGATGAAAGGAAATATCATGCCTAAGCTCCTTATTACACCGCATCTCACCTTGGTATTTTTCTCTTCCGAAAATAGTTGTTGAAGCATCGAAAGTAGTAAAGACGTTCTAATTTCCTCCTTTATTATTTTATCAAAAATTAATAATCATAAAAATAGCTTCCTTTTTTTAAAAAGAATTTTAAAATTCTTTCATTTCTATTTGTTTTTTCAATCCATTCTTGTTTTTTTTATAAAGAAATTGGAAATAAAACCGAAATGTAAGGAGAAAGAATTGCGCAAGTTTCAGCTATAAGCAATCTCCGTTCGCTGTAGCGGTGGCTAATTTGTTCCCAGCATTGCGGGAGCAATTCCAAGTTTATCCGGGTCGGACCGGCTCTTTGGGCGAATTTTAAGCAACTCGTGGCTATTAATTTTCTTATGGTAATAAATTATTTCCACATTAAATATTAATGAAAATCGAAACCTGTTATGTTAAAATTTTAATTTTAATAATAATATGACCTCACCAAACTTCAACTAATATCGATAGTTATTAAATTCAATATTTCTTCTCAAAATTCCCCAAACAATATTCACTAAAAAAAATATAGCATATCAAAATTATAATTCCCTCTTCAAATTTATTTAATTCTTAAAATATACATTTTAAAAAAAAACTATGTGTCTTTGAAGACATAGTTAGTAATATACATACAAATCATCTGAATACATTGTATATCTTGGCACTACGTGTAGCTATATCCTTGGTGGGGACTAGTGTTGTTAAACGGTTCGTTTTGAGCCGATTTTTCAAAACGACTAACTCAATATTTTAGCTAGAAAAATATTGCCTAAGCCTCTAGATTTCGATAATATATGTCTAAACCTTTTTTCCTTTTCTGAGCAAAATCTTCAGGCTTGCGTAATATTTTTCGGATGAAATAATGAGTTAGCCGTTTTTAAAAATCGGGTCAAAACAAGCCGTTTAACAACACTAGTGGGGACACCGGCCCTATTATTGTGCGAAGGTAAGAACAGAAATTTTTAAAATCAAATTAATTAATAAAATAGTAAAATATGTTGTCTTTGATTTAATGGTGATAATTCCCACTACCCCCTTGACAGATTTTTAAGTTTTCTTAAATATCATTTTAGGATAAAAAAAAATTATCCCCTATACTTTAGGGCAAAAAAAAATGAATAGAATATGTCATTAAAAACTATAATTTTTAAAATAATAGCGCTCCTAGATAGGCTGGATTTATAGTGGGATCCAAAACGACAATTATATAGATGAATGATTTCTAAAATCTGTTAATGGAAATTAATTTCTCTTTATTAATTTTATTTATAATTCTATTGATGGTTACTAATCTAAGAATTATTGGATTTAATAAAGAAAAATTGATCTCATCAAAAGATCTTTAAAATCGCTCAGCTGTTAAATGTATCGGATCGGATCTCGCTATGAATATAAACTTACCTTTCTTCTCCGTTTTATCGTATATTTTATTGATTTTTTTAAAAATAATGATTATAAATTAATTTTTTAAAAAAAATAAGATATAAATTTTGAATAATAATAATTTATTTTTTAAAATAAATTTGGATATGATTATATTAATAATTAAAATTAAAAAAAAACTAACATAACCAAATTCCTTCAATAATCAGACCTAAAATCATCCAACATAATTTATGAGGATGAAGAGGGGGGGGGCATCCAAAAGACTTCCTATCACCATAAGAAAGTCCTGGATGGCATCCATGATTATGATCTTAATCATATCCCATTTCAATTATCTTTTTTGCAATAAATATTTAATACATTTTTTAAAATCCCTTTTAATATAATAATAACGACAACCTATCCTGTAAGGGATAAAATATAATTCATAATTTAAAACAAATAAAAAAACATAATTTAAATTTTAAATTCAAGTAAAGAAGGAAACTAAGGAAATCATTTTTTTAAAACCTTTGATATTCGTCAGGACGTTTAACGAGGTTGAAGAGCATGTTTAGCATTGCGTCTCGCATCTTTGTGTCCAAATGAAGGTTAGCCGTGCTTAGGAGTAAGGGGATCAAGCTCTAATTTTGTTTTTTTTAATAAAGAGACGTAAAGAAAAAACTTAACAAAATGTTTTTGATATAATTATTGCTAAGAATAAGGAATTTTTTTTTCATTAGTTAAAAATTTAAAATAGCATCTCCGTATGTAATCCCTAGTGCCAATTTTGGTCTTTTTATATCCGATAAGAAGGTATGGATGATCATAGGGCGTAGACTTGGCTGTGACCTATGTCTATACCACAAATGTAGAGGGTGCGGGAAAGACACAGATCCTAAGGGACGACATGGTCTAACCTGTTTATACTCTAAAGGAGGGTTCAGTCGCCATAGATCCTAATCTCGAACAAATTAGGGTTGGCCAACAAGCCCCTCCTGGACCCCGTCAACTTATCCCTGTCTGATGGAAAAAGACCAGATTGGCTCACAAACATTCCGTGGTTTAGAGGAAAACACCTTTTATGGGATATCACTTGTGTCTCCCGATTTTCCTATAACCCAAACTGATCCGATTATTATAGCTGAAAGGTCAAAAATTAAAGATCACCACGACTTTTCTGATTGTCACTTTATTCCAATAGTTATTTCTCTAATTTGGAGATCATGGATCTTCTTTTAAAATGTTACAATCAATTCAAATCCTCGTGTTTCAAAGTAACTATCTTAGTTTCCTCGGGTCTCAATGAGAACCTTTTTTGCCCCCTCCCTCCCCTTTTATATGTTTTATTAAAAATTATATTTTTTTTGCCTTTTTAAAATTGTTTATTTAATTTTTTTTTACATGTTATGTTAATGGAGTTTCATATATTATGATATTTTTTAATACATATAAAGATCTTATATTCTAAGGAAAGAAGAAAAAAATGAAAGCGATAATTTTGATTTTGAAAATAAAAAAATTACCTCTCTCCTGGACACTAAAACGTTGGGAAATAAAAGCTTGAGGCATCGCGCTGATAGATCAACCATTTCTTCGGGCGAATCGGCCATTTCGATTGCCTATACAGGTCAGAAATAGATATTTCGAAAATTTTCATTTTTAAAAGAAATACAAACTTGTAGAGCGTTTTTCCCGCCAAATGGCTGCTCGTAAAAGCCCTCGCACTCAGACCCGGGGCTGGAAGAAAATTGAAGGGAGAGAGAAGCCGCTTGTATCAAAGCTTTCCGAAAAGATGAGGTCATATAACTTTCGTATTTTATATTTTTTTTGTTTTAAAATTAAATTAAAATATATTTTCTTTCTTGTTTCCTATTGTAGCGCATGAGAGTTTCAAATATTAATTAGATCTCCTGTATATTTTTTTAAAAAAAATGGAATCTTCCATATATATTTACAAATGTAGATTCGAAATAGCATATAATTAGCTAGGGAGCGTTATTGAATATAAATCAGCTGTTAACACCACCCATTTTTATTCATGCAATTTTTTCAAATTATAATTGAAGTCTGATTTTTTTTTAAAAAACGTTTCCCAAAATTTTAAATGTAAATGGTCTATATAGGAAACTAAAATGGCGTAAAACCAGTTGATTTGTATTGATTATTTAAATGAATGAATCGCTAGCCTAGGTACTATAATTATTATATGTCATTGATTAAGGCACTCCAATTCTAATTCGAAATAATAAATAATTTTTTCTACTTTCTAAAAATGTATATCACACCTGGAACATTTTTCCAACAATTTATCGGCGATCTCGATATCCTGACTGTAGCTAAGATCGGAATATTCTTGCTGTTTCTTGGAATTTCTTAAGGGGCTATTAGTTTCATCGTTGGATGGAGATTTCGGAAATTGGGAATGTTCATCTTTTTTTTAAAAAAAAATTCATTAATGAATGTTAAAAAGATTGAGAAACCCCAAACTAAAAATAAGAGGAGGAATATAAAAAAGATTGAATGGGGTGAGACCTGTTCACTATGAATATATATATATATCACCTAGTTCGAATCATAAGTAAGATCTATTGGCGAGATTTTCAAAAACAAGATTTCAGGGTAAGAGGAAGTATATGGCCACAGTATATCTACCTCATAGTCACATAGAAAGAATATGTAAAAGGAAAAAAGGGATAGGAATATATAACAATTCAATTTTTACTGGATAATTTGTCAATCGGAGAATCAATCCCATTGGTTATTATGGCGGCGAGTCCTGGCGATTGATAGTCAGAGGCGCTGTTGAAAAACATTGCTTTTTCTAGTTCCCTGAAAAAAAAGTATTATTATTTATAATGTAATGTCTTATTAAAATCAATTTTATAATTTTCAAAGAAATATTAATTTTTGCGTCTCTTTGTAAGAAAAAAAAATGAAGAAGAAAAATTAAATGAAGGAAATTCTGCCAATGAACATAGAGATGTAAACAATTAATAAAATAAACGAGAGCGATAATATCGACAAAATTGGTCTAACAAACCCGGATGCTTGGGAGGATAAGAGCAAATGGCTTAATCGGGAGAACCAGGGGAAAAAATTCAAACTTAACAAGGCCTTATTTGTTCTAACATAAACTCCTTTTTATAAATACCATTTTAAAATAGGAGTCCGATAAAAAGTCATTCCAAACAGGAACATATTTTGTTCTTACATAACAACTCATATAGTTCCCATTATTTTGAATGTACTCTAAAATTGGAGTCCAACTTTGATAAGCATATTTGGGGATTTTCAAAGATTAACCAACAATAGAAAATCTCCAATTAGATGAAAATCTTTATATTGAAAAACTTCTCAAATATTTGGGGAAAAAATATATTTAAAATATTCGATTATTTTCCCTCAAGAGTCATGGTTTTATCGCGATTGGCAATTTACTTTAATCTTGATCATGTTCAAATTTATTTGGATTATGAAATGTTATTCGTAAATAAACTTATTTTTTTACTAATATAAATTGATGTCCTTTTAAAATATTCAAGAAATTATATGATATTCACAGAAAATATAATTATTCGCAGAAAATATATTATCTGTTGAATGAAAAATGGAGACGACAACTAGAAATACGTGTTTTTATTTATTAAAACAAAACGATTTTAAATGGTTTCAAAAAAATTACTTAGGTTCATTCAAGTTATAACAGTTCGGCTTCCTCCTATTTTCAAATATAAACTGTGTGTGTGAATTAGGAGACCTATTCAAAAAGCGACATGAAAGCGGTTGCTTTAATGTTAAATGAGTTTAAATATAAATTTAGTTTCTTTTATTTAAAATCAAATGTTTCCTATTTTTTTTTAATATAAAAAATAAATAAATATTGCAATTAGATTTTGCAAACATAAATTAATTTTAATGAGTAACAGGGAAGGTTATCATAAGATTATGAAAATAATAATTATATTCAATTAACCAAAAAAAAACGAGATTACAAAATTATATAATTGTTATAATTATAAAAATTAAAGTAAAGGTGTGTAAAATATAGGGGACTTTTAAATAACCGTTAAATCATAATTAGCCTAATCATTTTATGAAGTGACATAATTTCACATCCGATTTTCTTTCTCTCTTTCTTTCTTTTGATTTAAAGATGGCAAGATCACTACGGTAGTGAGTTAACAAAAAATAAGTGGTTTGATAGTCATAAAATTTTTGCCTAATATGGATTCATTGGTTGTATTAATCAATTCCTAACTATTTCAATAATAATAATATTCTTAAACTCAATTATAAAAAAAACCTTTGCAAAATTCGGACATTCTCCGTTAATTTCAAGTTTTGCGATTTTATTTGTCCTAGGCTCATCTTGGTGATATCCAACTCGGTCACCTATTTATTTATTATTTGACGAAAATTGGGGATAAGAAAAAAAAATAAATAGTATAAAATGCTTCCACATTATTCTGATAATTATAGTGCTCTATCTCCACTTTTTAGCAAAAAACCCCAGCTTATAAACCCTTCTTATACTAGCCTCAAATATCCAAATGAACAAAATCGAAATAGTAAATTTTCTCATGTAGTCGCAAACTAATATGATTTAAAAAATAAAGCTATATTTTCGTTATTTTATTTTATTTGGCCTAGCAATCTAAACTGGTTTCTTAAAAATATAATTATAAATATTTTCTCTAATTTATAGTATATAAATATAATACAATATATATTTGATTTGTGAAAAAAATAAATGCCAACTATTATTTGAGTGAATTTTGTGATTAGATTATTTTAACTCATTATATTTAGGTCAGCATTCATAGTAGTATCCCATCCGACAAGAGCTGATCGATTTTTAAAATCTGCTTATGAGATCAATCTTTTTTTTATTAAAATCAATATTCCTTAGATTATTATCACGAATAGAATTAAATCAGCTGTGTCGGATCCCACTATTAATATTGCCTAACCCTGCATTCACAGTTAAGCGAATCGCGGAGAAGTACACAAAAATTAATGTAAAATTATTATATTTATATTTTGTATACTTCGCCGCGAATTCGCGCTAGCTGTGAATGCAGGGTAGGTCGTACATTACCCTTTTAACGAAATAACAGACGACAAATAGGAAAAAATGAATTAGTCTGTGGCGTTTAAGCGAAATTTTATATACGGATTATTTTTCGATTTCGCTAAAAATAGGTTTGTGTTGAACTAGGCTAAATAAAATTTCTCAAAGTTGAATCCAATCTTAGGGTTACCAGAGATTTAAAACGAGCTGAAAGAGGGAATCAGTCATGATTATACTAGATAAACATTTTGTATATTATAAGATTTTGGGGAACCTAGGAATTACCCTGCATTTACTATTGTGTATACTTTTCCCCTCGAATTTGCGCTAACTGTGAACGAGGGGTTAAATATGATTATTTCTTTTAAATATTTAAATCGTCCAAATTTTATTTTTAAAAAAAAGGAGTTGAAATAGATGGCGGAGATTAGAGCCCTAAACGGATAGATCTGAGTCATCAGCATAAAAAATAGGACTGAATAAGGCTCTATGTCTAGAAAATAATCTTAAAATACAAGGAAAAAGAAAATGATAGATAGAAAAAATCATGTAAATAATCATATAAAAATTGTTTGTTATTATAAAAAAAAATAGGCTTACAAATTCCTGCCCCCCGAAAATATTGCCTTTCACCTCTTCAAACATATTAAAACTACGTTGTGATTGGGGTCTCATGCTATAATCGCTATTAGGGGGGAAAGGCGAGAACTCTAAAAAATGTTGAGAGAAATTATCGGCCATATTGCTATTCAGAAACCTATAGTAATCTCTGGTTAGAAGTATTAAGGCCGGAGGTCTGGGTGTATTAAGGCCTACGTCTTCCCAGTCTTCTAGATTCTTTGGTTATTTTTTTTTAAAATAAATTTTAAAAAAGTAATATATTTCTTTCTCTTATAAACTCCGTTCATTATTTATGTATATTTACTAACTGTTTATCTACCCATCTCTAAACCTGAGAAAAATCAAACACGATAGCAAAAATATTAATATCTCTAGAAAAAAATCAGGGGGTTGCTCTGTGGAATATCTATCTACCTGTTCCTCGTTTTCATCTGCAAATGTTATGGATGTTAATTTGTATCCATATTTTAGAAGGTATTCGTTGATGAGAAAATTCAAAACCCTCTTTTCATAAGCCTTTATGGGAGTTTGTGATTGGGAGGAATGGATTGTAGATGGTTGGACGGATGCATCAGTTTCCTCTATTATATAATTAATGTTAAATAGAAGGGAAATGATAAATTTATTTATATTAAAAGTATAATGTAAACCAAATAGGTATTGCATTTAATATGGCAATAATAACGCGTTCGTGAAAATGCGTTTTTCCCCCGGAAAATAGTTTGAACGGCGTTTCGTTTATTTTAGACCAATTTTGAATGTGAGCGTATTCATTTTTCGGGAGGGAAGGCGTTTGTTTTTTACGCTCATTTATTTTAAAAGTATTTTTCAGTAGGTTCTCCTTTAAGATAAGTGTCATCCATTTCAATCGAATATGGTTTATCTTTTATTAATGTGACATATCTTTGCCATAGACTAATTACAATTTTATTTAAAACATGAGGCTACCTGATTATTATAGAGTTCTATGTCCCCTTTTGGTCGAAAGTGAGTTAAGATCATTGCACCAATATTTTAATTATTATAGGGTCCTATTTATTTAACCATTCCTTAGATCATTATTTTACGTGATAATAAAATTGTCTTTTTTCTAAATTTATAAAGGAAATGAAAAAGGTAGCGCTTGAGAGTTTTCCACGTACATTGCATTCATAGTTAGCGAGAATTCTCGGCGAAGTATACAAAAATTAATGTAAATAAATATATTTATATCATATTTTGTATACTACTCCGCAAATTCGCGGTAACTGTAAATGCAGTGTTATAGCACCTAATTGGGTAAAGAAAGATAAATTCTTAGTGATTGGCCTTTACTATGCCTTTTTTTTAACATAAGTTAGTAAATGTTTAAAATAATATAAAAAAATTAATATTCAGACATAGGGCTGGTTAAACAAACAGGATTTGTTTTTATATCTTAAAACGTTTTTTTCTTCTTTGAATGTGATTATTTGGCTTTGAATTATTCGCAAAATAACTTAGTCAAATCTATTTCTACATTTTGACTTCTCATAATCTCGTAATCTCTTTCCCTACCTGAACTTCCTTTTCTTATAAATATTTTATATTCCTCCCCTCCATCCCCCACTCTAAAAATACTCCCACCATACTTCCTTGCCCCTCTCCCCTTCAATCGCTCTAAACTCTATCTCACCAAATATTTGCCAATTTGTATTTTATTATACCTTATTCCCTGGGATATCATACCCCTGGCCCCATCCAGAATTTAAATACCAGCAATTCCATATTTTGCCATCCTCACCATCATCTACCCTGACCTATACTCTCTCCATTTATCTGAATTTAAATTTACAATACCCTTTTTCATTCTTTATGGCAAAAAAAAAATACATTTTTGGCTAATACAAAATTATATTTGTGTATGGGGAGTAACAAAATTAAGACTTTACTTGAAACCTAATCTTATTGTTTTACGGCTAACTCAAAATTTACACAACCTTTTTCTATAACTCAATTTATTTTTTCTACGAAGAACAAAGTAATAATTTATTATCCATAATTATATATATAAAAAAAAATAAAATTTTCTTCCAAAAAAATAAAATTTTCTTCCAAAAAAATAATAATTTTTTTTTTAATTTTTAAAAAAAATATCACGTGTCTTATTATTATAATTATTAACCAATCAACCTTATTTTCATCGGTTGATTGGCACTACGCATAAAAATGTATAAATTTGTATAAAAATACGACATGCCACCCCTTTATGGGATCAGGGCATGTCGGTAAACCAAAAAAAATTTTTTTACATGTATCTATTTATATTTGCGAAAAAAAAAATTAACGTTCATGCTTACATTAATGTTACACGAATATTCCCATACATAGTCACCTTAGGCCGACATGGGATTGCCCCAAAAATCATCTGCGCTAGTCGTCGGTAGAACACCAGTGGCTATAGTGGCCACAGCTCTCTGCAACACATCTCCTTCTCTATGTCCGCGAGATTCCCCCGATTGTTGCACCCCATCATTATAATTTTGTCTTTTCGGAGGACGTCTATCAGTAGGTATGGCCGGTCCTATAAGAACGGAAGTTGTCGGCTGCCCCAAATTCATCTCGTTATATATCCTCTTTTGTCCCTCATGTGGCTCTACCCGCGGATTCTCCGATAACACCCCCATAGGTACACGATCCCTGGGTAGTTGCGTGCATTGATGTCTAAGATGACCCTCGCCCTGACAATTATAACATCTTTTCCGTCTAATCCCATATGTCGGTGGCTGATTTTCATTCCGGCGTCCTTCTCCCAGGGTCATACCATCATGCTTCTTGATTAACGTGACCTGGAGATAAAAATCTCCAAGGTCCACGAGTCGGGAGGTTGTCTCCATCTCTCGAATGTGATGAAATATTTATGGATATCTGGTTCAAGGATATAAGTTGACTTTTCTTCATCTTAGTTTTCAGAAAAATAGTAGTAATGATTTAATGTAAAAAAAAATGACTTTACAACAACAAAAATTTCAATTTAATAAAAAAAATATAATTTACAATTTAAAAAAAACAGATATATTCTTTTTTTTTTCTTTTTTAAAAAAAATATAATTTACAATTTTGGGGAATTAAAAAAAAATAATCCAACAACTTATACCATATTCTTCCCATAAACATTAATTACATTATGGAACGTTTCTTCTCGCTGCCTGAAAAAAAATATAATTTATAAAGGGAGGAAAAGATAAAAAAAATAAACACAAAAAAAATAAACACATACTCCATATACAGTACCCTCTCGCATTGTCAATTGTTGATGATTGTGTAATGAGGGCAAATAGAGCGGTAATTCCTTGTAGATTACGTGTCAAAATTTTGAATTTATTACATGCGGGACATCAAGGTAGGGAAAGGATGAAATCTTGGGCGAGGGAGTATGTTTGGTGGCCAGGTATGGGCGATGATATTGAAAAAATTACAAGGAAATGCGTTCCTTGTAATACGTGTGCAGCTATGCCCAATAAGGAGGTAGGTCAGGTTTGGCCCCGGGCAAGGAAACCTTGGGAGCGTCTTCATGTAGATTTCTTTGATCTGGATAAAAGGGCTTCTTTTTTGTTGGTTGATTCGTATTCAAAATGGGTGGAATACACCGAGGTTAAGGGATATACCACCAGAATAGTGATTAAAAAATTACGGGATTTGTATGCCCGATTTGGTTTGCCAGATACCATTGTTTCTGACGGAGGACCAGCATTTGTGAGCGATGAATTCAAACAGTTTTGTGTGAAAACCTAGACTCGACATGTTTTGACTCCGCCTTATCATCCCAGCTCGAATGGGCAGGCTGAGAGAATGGTAGCCGTCGTTAAGAATTGGTTAAGGAAAGCGGTAAATTATAAGGATGGAGCGTACTTAGCTCAGTTATATTATCTTAACTCACGAAATAGGGAGGGAATGAGTCCTACGGAATTATTCCTGGGTCGGAGGACTAAGTTGCCGTTGGATTTTTTAAAGATAAGGGACAAAGGGAAGGCAGTTCTGGAATGCCAGAAAATTAAATTCGGTGTTGGGAAAAAGGTATGGACCCGCTTGTTTGATGGGAAGGGAAAAAAATGGGTCAGGGGTATTGTTAGCGAGAATAGAGGTTCGAAATTGAACGTGGTTCAGTTGGAAAGGGGCGGCACGGTTTTGCGCCATAATGATCATGTCAGAAGTAGAGGGTAGTTGGAAGGAGGGTAAAGTAGAATTTAGCTAGGATTAAAAAAAAATGATGTATGATAAAGATGTACAATTAGGGATTTCAAGTAGTTTTTTATTTTTTTTTAGTTTAATTGTGTTGGTTGCAACCCGAGGGTTTAGGCTCATCTTAGAGCAATAGTACATATGTATATTTATGCAAAAATAAAGCATAAGGGTGAAATGAATGTAAATAAAGTTTTGGTTTAAGTATTCGTAGTTTAAATTATATCAGGTTTGTAATGGAAAAGGAGGTTATCTCGATAATATTACGAGAAATTAAAGTATATGTAGATATATATAATGTTAAGTTAAACTGGTTAATGTTCCGGCTGTCGGTAATAAACAAGGAAAAAAGATTGAAATTGTGGTAATATATTTATTGTAAATGAATAAAAGTGTTAAAAAATAAAAGGAATAGAAAGTGTTGTAATTCATTTCGTGAATATAGTGTAATTATTGTTAAAAGAAGAAGGGGTAAAAAGTTGTAATTCATTTGGTGCGTACATTTTTGTGCATAGCTTTATAGGAAAATTGCGGCTGTTGAACATTAGTCTTGGTACTGGGAAGATATTCGTAAAAAAAGGAATTAAAAAAGTTTTTGTTTTGATATTTGTAAAAAAGAGAATTAAGAAGTTTTGGTTTGGTTGGCCGATAATTTAAAAGGAGGAGATTATATATTGTGATAATGCGAGAGGGTACTGTATATGGAGTATGTGTTTATTTTTTTTATCTTTTCCTCCCGTTATAAATTATATTTTTTTCAGGCAGCGAGAAGAAAGTTCCATAATGTAATTAATGTTTATGGGAAGAATATGGTATAAGTTGTTGGATTATTTTTTTTAATTCCCCAAAATTGTAAATTATATTTTTTTAAAAAAAGAAAAAAAAAGAATATATCTGTTTTTTTTAAATTGTAAATTATATTTTTTTTATTAAATTGAAATTTTTGTTGTTGTAAAGTCATTTTTTTTTACATTAAATCATTACTACTATTTTTCTGAAAACTAAGATAAAGAAAAAGTCAACGTATATCCTTGAACCAGATATCCATAAATATTTCATCACATTCGAGAGATGGAGACAACCTCCCGACTCGTGGACCTTGGAGATTTTAATCTCCAGGTCACGTTAATCAAGAAGCATGATGGTATGACCCTGGGAGAAGGACGCCGGAATGAAAATCAGCCACCGACATATGGGATTAGACGGAAAAGATGTTATAATTGTCAGGGCGAGGGTCATCTTAGACATCAATGCACGCAACTACCCAGGGATCGTGTACCTATGGGGGTGTTATCGGAGAATCCGCGGGTAGAGCCACATCAGGGACAAAAGAGGATATATAACGAGATGAATTTGGGGCAGCCGACAACTTCCGTTCTTA